GATGGCCAGCTCAGCCTGCGCGCCGCCTCTCCGTGCTGTCTCCTGGCCCGTGAGGGCCACATCTGAGAAGCTCTCCCCAGGGCCCGCAGCTCCTGGGAGCCCCACATCTCTGCTCTGCTGCTGGAAGCAGCTCCGCCCTGGGAAGCCCCGGAGCAGGACAGATTCTGAGCAGCATAGATGCAGCCCAGGCGAGGGAGCAGTCTGACTGCTGGAGCAGGTTTTTGTGATACCAGAAGCGCCGCGTCCCACACTTAGCAAACGCTCTCTGGTGCAGCGTTGTGTCCAGTGCTCAACAAATATGTCCTCGTCACCACCCTGTGGGGCTGGTGCTGCTGTTTTCATTCCTGTTTTATAGGTGAGGCAAAGAGGTGAAGACACCTGACAAGAGCAATCGCTCACTTACTCCTTTCACTCCTAGCATGTTGACAATGAGAATATGGGGCTGGGCAGAGTGGCCCCTGTACTGCCAGCCCTCGGGAGGCTGAGGAGGGAGGATCGCCACGCACTCAAGGCCAGCCTGGGTCACATAGTGAGTTCAATGCCAGTCTAGGCTACCTAGCAAGACTCTGCTCTTAAAAAAAAAAAAAAAAAAAAAAAAAAAAAAGAAAGCAAAATGAAAAAAAAAAAAAAAAAAAAAAAAAAGTAAGATACGCAGTAAGAAGGTCACATCACCCCTGCAGATGTTCAGCAGATCTGAACTTGACTCTGAGTGGTTCTGCAGAGCAAGAGGCCAGAAAGTCATAAAGTCCAGAGCCCACACTCAGTGGGAGACCTTTCCTGTAACAGAGCAGTTAGCCTTCTTGGGCAGTAAATGTTCAACAACAAGCTCCAGGAAGGGCAGGTGAAGGAGGGTCCCTGCAGAAGGCATTTGCCAGTTTAGACAGCATCAGTCCTACCACCTGGAGACTTCAAGGTCAAAACACAAAGTCAGTCGCTAACTCAGAGCTCAGAATCACAACCTGGCTGGGGCAGTGGCACATACTTTGTGATTCCAACACTGGGGAGGCTGAGGCAGGAGGGGCGCACAAGTTAGGGGCCAGCCTGGGTTACTTAGGGAGTTCATGGCCAGCCTGAACTATATACTGAGATTGCTTCAAAAAGCCGAAAACAAAACAAAACACAAACCAAAAAACAAGAAGTGCAACCTGTGAGCCAGCCATACATCCAGGCTGCCCGCAGCCGACTGGCACCAAGGTGCAGCCAGCACCTGCATGGCTGGGGTGTCAGGGAGCCACCGCCCTGAGCTCGGATGAAGGCTTCCCAGAAAAGCAGGGAGCTCAGGAGCCTGGAAGAAGCAAATATAAACCATCTCAGCAGGGAAGCCTCAAATTATCCCTATAAATAAAATTTAAAATATAGTGTCCGGCATAGTTTGAGAGAGCAAGAGCCGCTGTAAGGAACTACAACACTGTGATTGAGAAGGGCCAAGGTGGAACCGCAGGTAGCCCAGATACCAGCCTCGTTGGACACAGGCTCTAAGACAGCTGGGCTTTGTTGAAAGAAAGATGCTTAAAGGTATCTGCAGGGATCGGAATCTACAAAATTGTCATAGTAGATTATAAAGAATATTCAAGAGCCAGGTGTAGTGGCACATGCCTGTAATCCCATCACTCACTCGGGAGGCTGAGGCAGGAGGATCACTGTGAGTTTGAGGTCAGCCTGGGCTACAAAATGGGCTCGAGGTAACCCGAAGTACATAGCGAGACTTTGTCTCAAAAAGATTTAAAAAGGAAGAGAAGAAGAAAAGAATATTTGAGCTGAGTGTGGTGGCACAAGCCTAGAGGCAGAAGGATCACCCTGAGATCCAACCCAGCCTAGGCTACATAGTAAGTTCAAGGCCAGCCTGAACTACATAGGAAAACCCTTTCTAAAACAAAACAACAAGACAAATCTTCACAACTTTTTGGAAAAAAATTATGGTTTAATCAGGGACCAAAAATGTAAAACCTTCAGGGACCAGACAGGTAACAGAAAGGAGTCAAAGGCTGGGCAACAGCACACTGGCCACCTCCTTTGGTGAAGGGGCTTTGTCTGAAAGGCCCCAGCAGATGCTGCCAGGGTTTGACTGTATCGTTGAGTTGCACAGGCTGGGTTTAATCTTGTGACCCTCCTGCCTCAGCCTCCCAGGGTGCTGGGATTACTATGTGTCTGAATGCCTCGCTTTGGGCTTCTCTTTATGGTGATCAAATACACATAAAATCACACTGACCACCGCAATCAATTTAAAGTGCTCAATTCAGTGAAAACTTCAGACTCTCAGGGTGCACCACTTGGCCCTCTCTCTCATTCCTCAGATCTCACATCACCCTCAAAGGAAGCCGCATGCCCCGGGCTGCCTCTTTACTCTGTCCCCTCAGTCTCTGGCACCACCTGCCTGTGCCCCTCCCCCGCTTCAGATTGGCCCACATAGCTCACCTTAGTTGTCAGCGGACTCCTCCAGTACCCGTCCTTGCGTTCCCAGCTGCTCTCACTTCGCATGTTTTCAAACTTGTTCTATCTAGCATATGTTTGCTTCTTTTCATGACTGAATAGTATTCCGCCACATAGATTTGCTTATTCACCAGTTGCTTTATTTATTTATGGTTCTGGAGATTAAACCCAGGGCCTTTGTCCTGAGCTTCTTCCCCAGACCTTTCTTTACTTTTTTTATTTTAAGACAGGGTCTTGCTAAGTTGCTAAGTTACCCAGACTGGGTAACTGAACTTTTCCTCTTCCTGTCTCAGCCTACCAGCATTCAGGGATTACAGGTATGAACTACCATACCACCAGCTGCTATTGAGACGCTTTAAAAACAAAACAAACCAGGGATCGAACCCAGGAACTTGTGCTTGTCTGTCGGGCACTTATGCCACGCAGCTATCTCTCTGGCCCATGCTATCTGGATTTGTAACATGGTATCTTTTATTTTAGTTGCACTAGAGCTTTGCACATTGATATGCACCTGTCATCCCCGCTGCCGGAAGTGGAAGGAGAGAGATCACCAGAGCCAAGGAATTCCAAGCTGGTCCAGACAACAGAATGAGATTTATCTGTTAAATAAAAGTGAAATATATCCCTGTGGCCACAGCAACAACCAGAAACACAGATATGGCAGAGCACTAACCGGGTAAGACTTCTGATCACCACCTACTGTTGCTTCGGTTCGTTTTTTGGAACAGGGTCTCATTTTGTTGCTAAGAAGTCTTTGCCCAGACTCCTGGGCTCAGGCAATCCTCAGGCCCCAGTTCCGGGTAGCTGAGGCTGCAGGCTGCACCACTGTGCCACTGGTGCACCACTGTGTCGGGTGCCATGCCTGTTTTCTTCAAAATCCCAAGAATGATTCTCTGGGGTAGTTTTGGGTGTGCTGGGAGCTGAAATCAAGTCCTTGGCACTGAGCTAGACCCCTAGCCCTTCTTCAATGTTTATTTTGAGACAGGATCACTAAATCAACCAGGCTGGGCTACACCTTGAGAATCTCCTGCTTCAGCCTCCCAAGTGCTGGGATTACAGGAATGGACCACCATGCTCAATATTTGTTTTTATTTTGATTTGAAAACTAGCACTTTCATATCAGAATGAGAACTCGCATTTCAAGATAGGAAAAGGTCTCACACCTCCCACTACATTTCCCCCTGTAACTTTTTATCTCTCATCCCCAAGTCCCAGGGGAACCTGCTTGGTGCTGCACCCAGCAGCAGCCTTGACCTTGTCGGGGGCTCTGTCCTCCTCCAACGCCAGGTGTGGGGTGAATTCACCTCCCCAGCTGGACTCTCCTTTTCCCAGCATCCACTTGAGCAACCACTGGCCATGGTCAGATGGGCCAGGCAGCAGCTGCGGCACGTGGTGATCCTGAGCCTTGCAGCTGCTCTCAGAGATCCTGTGCGGAGGCCCAGGGGTGGGAGGGACCCTCAGAAGCCCCCCTCACAGGTTGCACCCATCCTTGTTACCTGCAGGGTCACCTGCCCAGAAACAGTACAAGCTCTCAACCTGTCTCCTTCCCACGACCCCTTCAGCCGATGGAGGGCAGGGCCACATCTCCAGCAGAGGGAAGTATCCTGTGACACAGGGATCCAGACATCTTTCCTACAACCCTACTTTTCCAAAAAGGCGACGGGCCAGTGGAGCAGACGAGCCGAGCCTTTTGTACCTCCTCCGGGAGCTCCGGTGTCCCGAGCCGCCTCTGCCAACTCCGCCAAGTGCACAGCCCACAGCAAACTTGCATCACCGCACCAGCCCGGGCGGGGCGCGGGCCGCGGAGCTGGCTCCCTGGGAATGCGCCCCTGCGCGGCCACCCGCCGCTCCCCAGGTCCCCAAGGCACCTGCGGCCTCGGTTCCCAGGGAAGCCTCCCCTTCCTCCCCGCGGGCTCGAGATGGCTGGGTTCCGGGGATCCGGGGCGTCCTCGGGCTTGGGGACTTGGGGTGCGGCTCCCCGAGACCGGGGGGCGGGGTTGGGGAGTCGGCGGCGCCGCGAGGCCGCACAGCCGAGACCGCGGCGGCGCTGCTCCCCCGCCTGGTGCAGCTGGCGCCCGGCGCGTGCGCACTGGGCTCCGGGCGCGCGGCGCACAGGCTTTTGTGTATGTGTATGTGTGTGTGTGTGTGTGCGTGCGTGTGAGTGTGTGAGTGCGCGTGTGCGTGTGCGCGTCTGTGTCGAGAGAGCGAGCGGGCGCGAGTGTGGCCGCCGCGGAGCGCGAGCAGGACCCGGCGGGCGCGCTCCCCAGCCCCTCTCGGCGCCGGAACCATGTCGGGCAGGTCGGTTCGAGCCGAGACCAGGAGCCGCGCCAAAGATGATATCAAGCGGGTCATGGCGGCGATCGAGAAAGTGCGCAAATGGTGAGCGCGCCCGCGCCGCCGCGAGCGCCGGGACCCCGGAGCCCCAGCCCGAGCCGAGCCGGGGCGCAGCG